GGAACAATGAAGCTGTTACTGCCGTAAGTATTAAATATGTACACTAAGAGAAACTTTATATTATTTTAGCAAGTCAGTAGCACCTGAGTGTGGAAACATTTCATGTGATTTCTATTTCAAAAAAGATAACACATCTTTCAGCAATTCTGGAAGAAAGGGCTCTCTATAAACATACTGGAAAATGGAACTGAGGAATACACACTGTGAACTTACCAAGCATTTTTCTGTCCATAACTATTGCTCTAAAGGAAATTCTCCAGTCCCTGTACCATCCACAGGACATTAGCACAAAGGTGGTAGTGAAGCATGATGATTGAGCGCACTGTCTCTGGTCCTCTACTGCTGGAGTCTGAACACTGACTTCACCACTTGCGTACATTAACCGACACATGGTAAAGTCAATAAACGTTCACTGAAATGATTACTACGGTTGAGAGAAAGAGGTCTTTGAACCAAAGATGGAAAAACATTAAAATACTTTAAGGGACAGAAGTATATTTAAGCAGGAATTATTTTAAGTAATCCAAACATTTTGGGTGTGTGCAATAGGTTATTTTTTCATCCTAAGCCAGATATCTCTTCAAATCTAACTGTGCCTCATTTTCTTTTTGTTCTTTCTAATCTTATTATAATTATTCAGGAGGCTTAACTAAAATTAAAATTTTCAAATCTATTTTTTTAAGTTAATTATCCAGTTTGTGATCTAAGTTCTTGCCTTTTAGTTCCTTCTCGACCTATTCTACTCGCTTGCCGCTTATTATTATCACTCCACCAGAGGGCATACAAAAGAAAGGTGACAACATGAAACACTCAAAGTTGGTAACTTGTTAGCTTTCAGAGAAGCTTTAGCAGCATCACCAAACACCTTACATAGCACTAATACTGTCAGATTCTCGGGAAACTGTCTTCTATATTTGAAACAGCATTAGCTAAGATACAGCAAATATTAATTCATGCATTCATTCCTTCATTCAACAAATATCTGAGTCCTGACCATGTGCCAAACATATTCCAGGCTCTAGAGAGTCAGTAGTAAACAAAACAAAACTTCCCACTGCCATAGTGCTTTGTTCTGTATTTGTCTAGGAGATAAACAAGAAAGCACATCATAATTTTAAGTACAGGTAAGTCGTATGCAAGAAAAAAACTGCAAGAACTTCAAGAAGTTAGAGGGTGAGGAGGAAGGCTATTTTTGTATAAATTAAGTAAGGACTGAATGAAATGAGAGGATGAGCCATGTCTTAATTGCGAGAAAGCATTCCAGGCAGAACAGCAAGCAAAGGCCCAGGCAGAAACTAACCCGACATGCTGGACCAACCGCAGTGACAATGGCGAGGCTGGAACAGAGTGAGCACGGCAGAGAGCAGCAGAGGAGACTAGAAGGGTGCCCCAGAGTCCAGTCATAGCCTCTTGATCATGGTAAAAAAAAAAAAAAAAAAAAAAAAATCCTGATTTTTTTTTTCAGATGGAGTCTCACTCTATTGCCCAGGCACAAACATGGCTCACTGCAACTTTGACCTCCTGGACTCAAGCAATCCTCCCACCTCAGACTCCCAAGTTGCTGAGACCACAGAAATGCACCACCATGCCTGGCTAAAACATTTTTATTTTATCTAACAATAATGGGTTCTGACGACTGAGATATAACCTGCCTTGATTTACCTCTTTTTAAGTTCATGCTGGCTGGTGGGAGACAGAGAGTGGAAGCTGACAAACCAGTTGGGGGGCTCCTGCAGTCATCCAGGCCAGGAAAGAATACAATTTGACACAAGAGTGGTGGTGGCAGTGTAGGTGATAGGAATGGTCAAATCAAATTTTTAAAAAAGATGGTCCAATCTGCAGTGATTTTGAAGGTAGAGCCCATAATACTTGCTATTGAAGGAACAGATTTAGGATGAGTGAAATAGGGGAATGAGGATAACTCTTAGAATTTTTAGCCTGAGCAACCTGGTGGATGGTGGTACCATTTACTGAGATGGATAAGAATGAGAAACTGTAGCCAATGAGGCAGGATGAAAATCAGAGAGAGCGAGTGTCCCAGAAGCCAAGAGGAAAGGACATTTTGATAAGAAAGGAGTTATCTGTTGCCTGTATCAAATGTGGCTGAAGATCCAGTTTGGCAAGACTGACATCCCTGGTGACCTGGAGAAGAACTGTTTCATGAAGTAGGAGGAATAATGTCTCTCTGGAGTGGGTTCAGAAGAAGATGGCAGATAAGGAGGAGAGGCAGCCTATATGGAGTCTTTCAAAGATTTTCTTTTTGAAGCAAAGCTGCATTGTTACTGTTTGAAGTTTTATTTTTAACTTTTCAATTCTAAAAATCTTAAACTTGAAAACAGTAATACTGTGAACACCCTTGTACCCTTCACCTAGATTGCTAACTTGTACCATATTTGGTTTATCAGTCTCTCTATATATGGAATCATTATTGTCTATCCATTTGAGAGTAAGCTAAAAGCATTTTGACCTTTTACTCCTAAACAATTCATTGTGTTATCTTCTAAGAACAGGCGCATTATCTTACATAATCACAAAACAATTATCAAATTCAGAAAATTTAACACTGATACAACACTATTACTCCATATTTAAATCTTGCCAATATCCTAACAATGTTCTTAGAGAAATGATTTTTTTTTTCCAAGCCAAGATCCAATCCAGGATTATGCATGGTATTTAATTACCATGTCTCTTGAACTTCCTTTAATCTGAAATAGTTCCTTACCTTTTGTCGTTCATGACACTGACATATTTGAAGATTACAAGGCAGTTACTTTCTAGAATAATCCTCAATAAAGGTCCCCCAACTGTTTCCTTGTGATTAAATTCTGGTTATTTTAGAAAAACCACAGAAAAGTAATGATGTTCTCGGTTCAGACACAGCAAGAAGAACATGATTATGCTACTACTGGCGATGCTAACTTTGATCCCTTGGTTAAGGTAGTGTCTGCCACACTTCTCCACTGTGAAGCTACTATTTTCCCCTTGGTGTCAATCTGGAGAGATCATTTGAGACTGTGTGGCACTTGCCTGAAGTAACATTGCCTGAATCCAAATTAATTACCTAGAATGTCACTGCTTCTGGGCCCTTTAATTAGACAGAACTAGCAAATAGATGCAAGTAGGCATATGTGAATATATATTTCAATCATGAGTTCATGTTGATACCATTAATTCCAATCCAAAATCAAGAGTTCTTCATTGCCTTCTTCTGTTTCAATTTTTTTTTTTTTTTTTTCCCCCGAGATGGGAGTCTCTCTCTCTCGCCCAGGCTGGAGTACAGTAACGCAATCTCGGCTCACTCCAAGCTCCGCCTCCTGGGTTCACACCATTCTCCTGCCTCAGCCTCCTGAGTAGCTGGGACTACAGGCGACCGCCACCACGCCCAGCTAATTTTTTGTATTTTTAGTAGAGACAGGGTTTCACCGTGTAAGCCAAGATGGTCTTGATCTCCTGACCTTGTGATCCGCCTGCCTCGGCCTCCCAAAGTGCTGGGATTACAGGTGTGAGCCACCGCACCAGGCCTGTTTCATATTTTTAGTTATCTTCTTCCTCACTGAAAATCCCAGTTCCCAAAATATCAATGAATTGACCCATTTGCTCAATCCTGTAACACACACAAAATAGTTTCAGAATTGCTACACCTCTACCATATAAATAATAGCTTACTACACAGAGTACACAGAGTTCAAGATTATTTTTTCAGTTCTTTAATCTTTAATCCTGTGCTCAAAACTTACTTGGGTTTTTTTTTTTTTTTTCTTTCTTCTGGGAGTTTATGTTATTCACAGAAATACACGGTTTGTTGTTGCTGTTTGTATTCAGTTTTGGAGTCCCACTCTCCACATCTTGTTAATTTTATTTTTGAACATAAAAAAGACTAACAGTTTCCAAAACTCAAAACTATGCAAAAAGGTATATTCAGAGCAACGTCATTCCTTCTGTTGTTCCCGTTTACTCAGTTCCTACCCAGTGCCTGTAGTTAACTAATTAGTTTCTGGTTATTGCTCCTGTATTTATTTTTGTGCTGTTAAAAAACTAAGCTTCCTCAAGGTGAGGTAGAGAAATGAGGCAGGGCCGGACGCAGTGGCTCACGCCTGTAATCCTAACACTCTGAGAGGCTGAGGTGGGTGGACTGCTTCAGCCCAAGAGTTCAAGACCAGCCTGGGCAACACAGTGAGATCCTGCTTCTATTTATAAAAATAAATAAATAAAAAGAAATGAGGCAGTCACTGAAGCAGAACACTGATCAAGAAACAATTTTATTTTAAAACGGGAGACAGACTGTAAAATAGTGCAAATGACTCTGTAGTAACTGACAAATTGAAGACACAGGAGAAAGTATGATAAATTGCAGAGGGAAATATCTATCAAAATATCGCCTGGTTTAATTTGAGGGATATCAAAGGGTTCTCATATACCAAAACAGATTGCCATCCTGTTCGTAACCTTCCAAATTAGTTATAACTCTATTTCTAGAGAACCCACATTAAAATGGCATTATTATTTTATCAACATAATTACACCATCACTACCTGTTAATATCAATAGGATACACTGTGCCCTGGCAAAAGGGAGGTTTTGAACTTGGAACAAGACATTTAACTAGGAGTAGCATGGTGAAAAGAGAATGGCTGATGTGAGAAGTTGTATAAAAACATGGACGGACAATAATGATCATGCTGGAAAAACAAACATGTCTCTGGGATGTCTTGGATATTTTATACACATGCTAATGAGTAATTGAGGGTCACTCCTAATGCCCTGGTACTAAGTTAATATGGCACAGGGGAAAGAACATGGACTGTGGAAGCAGAGGGGTCTTGCTTCGAATCCCAGTTGAGTTACTTAACGCCTACATGACCACTGCCAAGTTACTTAAAACCTCAGTTTCCCTACCTGTGGAAGTAGATAAGGGTGTTATTGTGAGATATAAGAAGAATAACTTACAGCACTGCCCCAGCCCAGAAGAAATATTTTAATAAATAAGTCCATAACAGATGCAGATTAAAATAGTCAGCAAGGTAAAGAAACTGATGACACAGCCAGCTGACTTCAATAACACGCCTAAGAGAAATCACACCATCTCAGGCAGCATTTGGTAAGGGCAGAAAAATGTCCAACACTTAGTTCCAATTCTTAATTTTCAAATTGCCCCAGAGTCTATTTTTAAAGTGTAAAAGTATGTGCTGACTACTTACATGCCAATTGTTTAAAAGAAACAATTCTACAGGTTAACAAAGGCCAATGACTCGGAATAACTTCCTAAATAATGTCTACAGGCCCACAAAGAGATGAACCAACCTAAATGTATCAAAAGCTGTATTAATCAGTTTCATAAAAGTATATACAGAAGGTTGACAAAGTTCAATAAGACATTTTAAAAGTTTCTATTTCAGTTTCAAATTCATCTACAAACCAAAAAGCAACATGGAAAATCTTAAAATGTTTTAAAACCACATATTGAAATATACAGCAAATTTTCAGAGCCCAGGATCAGTAGTAAACCCAAAGCACCACACTGAAGAGTATTAAAATGAACAATGGCAGAGACTCAAAGCATACAATTTTAAATGCACCTAATCCGTCGTTTTCCTCTCCGACTAGAAATGACTTCCCTCCCATCTTAAATAAGCAGCGTGTGTTCTAGCTCTGTCCTAGAAGATGTACTTAATGGTCATAAACTCAGTTTGCAACACTGAGATGGACTGATAATAAAAGTTCTAATCAACAATTAAATTTTGAACGTGTTAAGAAAACTTCCCGATAAAGTGCTAATCCACACGCCAAGCTACTTTGTCAGTGGCTGAGGAGAAAGATGCATCCTCATCCTTTATGGAAAGAGAAAGGGAAGGAGAGGGAGAAAAGGAAAGACAAGGCGATGCAAAATAACAAAGTATTGCTTATATAAACAAATGAAAGCCTGGTTTTAAACTTTTGAAAATTCAATTTTCCCTTAGCGAATAGGAATACATATCAAAGTATATGGCAATCATCTGTGTTCTGAAGTAGAAAAAGGTGGAGAGAAAAGGAAAACACTTTTTCTTGTACTGAACTCACAAGTATTCAAAATTCATTAATCCCCTCCCATCCCCAAACTCTAGACATTATATCATTCCCAAAATAAATCAGATACAAAGCCACTGGACTAATTTTGGACTCAGTGTAGAACTTTTATGAGTTTTCCCAGCGCTCTCCACCCAATAGCCCTCCTGGGCAGTCCCGAATACCCGCTATTTTGGGGGCACGCACGGGCTCGTACTCTGAGTTCCTGGGAGGAGGCCTCGGGGAGTGACGAGAAACCCAGGGGGTCTGGAGGACCTGGACCGCCGACCGTTCCTCGCTGCCCCGGGCGAGCCATCTGGACCACCCGGGAAGTGCCTGCGCCGGCGGTCGTGAGGCCGGTTCCCGCGCAGCAGCGGAGCGCGACCCAGGCGCGCCCTCCCAGTCCCTCCCGGGCACCGTCCGCCGCCCGAGCCCTCAGTCCCGGAGCCAGGAGGGACCCATCCCGCCCCGCACCGTCACCCAGGCCCCGTTTTGCAGGAGTGGCTCGCGGCGCCCCACGTCTCTGCGAGAAGCCCGGGATCGCTTCGCCGGGCACACCAACGAGCCGCCGCTCGCGAGCTCGCCGCCTACCTGGAGGGAGCTCGGGCCCGCGTCGACCGCGCGCTGCCGGGGTCCGCTGAGCGCACAGCAGCTCCTGGAGCGCGGAGCCCGCGGGAAGAGCGCAGCCCAGCGCACCGCCGAAACCAGAACCGCCGGCCACACCCAGTCCCGCACCGCCCAGCAGCCAACTCCGCGGCGCGCCGGAGCCAGGGCGGGGACGTGGCTGGAGGCGCGAGGCACGAGGCACGAGGCGCGCGGGCCCGGCGGGGACGTGCCGGGGGCGCGCAGACCCTCGGAGCGCGCGCAGCCCGGGCGGGGGGCGAAGGGAGCGGGAGCCGCGCGCAGCTTCTGCTTCCTATTTTCTCTCTCGTTTCCTGCCCGAAGGAGAAGAAAAACATTCCTTCCCGGGCAGTTTCGTTTTCTTGTTGGTGCGGCGCTGGGGCACGCTGCTAAGTAGCGCCCGTCTAAGTGGCGTGGCCAGTTTCCTTTCCGGCTCTGACAGGCGCCAGTTTGCTGGTGAGCAGGATCGAAGGGCAGAGCTAGAAGACCCCAAAGGTCCCGTTTAGGTTTCCCATTCTGGAATTCTAAATGTCAGAAAGTAAACTGAAGCCCAGAGTCGCACAACCTTGCGTTGCATTCCCCGCTCTACTATCACTAGTTGTAGGACCGTGTACCGTCTCGGGCTTAAGTTTCGTCATCGCCAAAATAAGGATAGTGATACCTGCCTGATGAAGGTGCTAAGCATATTAAATGAAGTAATGTTTGCACGAAGCCTGCCTCCAAATACTTGGAAGTTATTGTTCCTATTGTCGTTGATAAAACTGGAAGGCCTTCCAGATATCCCTGCCAAGTCGCTCTTCTCTGCATGAGTTAAACACCACATGCATCTCAATCGAGTTTTTTTTTTTTTCTTTCTCACATTTATCTGGGTGTTTTATGTTTAAAATGTCATAAAATAAATGCATCTATGCAATTTGCTTCCTCTAAAGTCAGTACCGCCTGGGAGCATTTTTCCTCTCCCCACCCCCATTTTTCTTCGGAGTTAATTCCAGTTTGACAGACTGTTGCTATAGCATTCCTTCTCTGACGTCAAACAATTTAAAGAAACAGCCCTGGGTAGCGAAAACTGCAGAGGAGTTCTTTGTGGAGTTTCTGTGCCGGAGAAAGGTTCGAACAGTATCACCAGATAACTTTAACACCCCCGCAGCCTTCCAATCCTCCTTTTCTAGCTGCTTCTCACTATCACCTGGAATAAATCTATTAGTCCCTTGAAAGAGGTGATGCCATGATAAGCACACCCTGTTTGTGACTGTGGAGAAAATGTGACCGGTTTGTATAAAAGCCAGGCCGTGACAAAAATAGAAACAGCTGTTTCTGTTTTCTTTATCCAGAGATAAAGAAACTGTGAATCATTTTCCCCTCAAAATTTTCATTTTTACTAATATTAGGAGCACTTTTCCATTAAGAAGAAAGAGGAAAAATGCCAAATATTCTGCATATCAAAGTGTCAGAAGAGCTAGTTGGGACATGAGTGTTTTGCATCTGTAACTATTTATGTTTTAATGATTAAATCCTGAGCTTTATCATTGTCGTTTCTAGGAGGAAGCAAAGGGAAATTGTTAAAAGAGTGCCTATTATGGACCATGCTCTCTGCTTTCTTATACTGTACTTAATCCTCATAATTACCTTGAAGTGTGAATTTTATCCCCATTTTACAGATAAGCAAACTGATGCCCTGGTAAGATTAATTTATCAGAGTCACCAAGGTACTGGCAGAGCCTTGCATGACATCAGATTGGATCAACTCCAAAACCCTTTCTTTTCCTTCCTTCCTTCCTTCCTTCCTTCCTTCCTTCCTTCCTCCCTTCCAGCCTTCCTTCCTTTCTCTCTCTCTCTCTCTCTGTCTCTCTCTCTCTCTCTCCCCCCCTTCCTCCCTCCCTCCCTCTCTCTCTCTCTGTCGAGACAGAGCCACTCTGTCACCCAGACTGGAGTGCAGTTTCTTTCTTTTGAGACAGAGTCACTCTGTCACCCAGGCTGGAGTGCAGTGGTGTGATGTCAGCTCACTGCAACTTCCACCTCCCGGATTCAAGCGATTCTTGTGTCTCAGCCTCCCAAGTAACTGGGATTACAGGCGCAAGCCACCATACCCGGCTGATTTTTTGTATTTTTATTAGAGACGGGATTTCACCATGTTGACCAGGCTGGTCTCAATCTGCTGACCTCAGGTGATCTGCCCGCTTTGGCCTCCCAAACTGTTGAGATTACAGGCATGAGCCACCGATCCCGGCCCCATATTCTTTCTTTAGATTCTTTTCCGCCTTGTTCCCGTGCACTAGCATTTACCAGATGTTATAAAGCTTTGAGAGGTGGTTGTTGGGTTAAGATTATTTGTTGAAAAACAAGTTGCTGGTATTTAGGAAAACCCAGTGGGAAGCAATGAGATAGTCTATTCCAGAAAAGATCAGGGGAAATATAAATGAACAGCTCCTAAAGATAAAAAACCTGAAAAGATGTAACAAGAATTTGACTGTCTTTTGAAGAGTTTAAAAGAATGATAACGTCAACCTTCTTGAAAATTTAATGTAGACAAAGAAATTACTAGAAGAAGAAAGTCCAAGTACAGAAAAAGGAAAGTTTAATTATTATCCAAACAAATCTACTTCCAAGAATATTGTATTTCTGTTTTGCCACACCTGCTGCATATTTTTCTGGAAAAAAAAAAAACTTACTTGTTAAAGGACAAGCCTATATGAAAATCTGAAAGTGGGGCTGATTAAAAGAATTTCATCATCAGGAATAGTTTCATAAGAGGATAGTAATGCATCTAAGTGATCCAGCAATTCACAATTTTTCCAATGATAATGAAATCCATGAATAATGAAAGAGAGAGAAAGGGAAGGGAGGTAGAGAGAAAGGTGAAGGGGCATGCTGTTAACATTTCTGATGCCTGCTGATTTGTGTAGACAATTGTAGAGATGTATCCTACTTCTAAGGATTAAGCCCCATGATCTCTTGTTGGGGTGCCACCGGTTGATAATTAGATTTCTGACTCATAAGGCCCATGTTCTCAAATCCTACTCTATTAAGAGAGCATGGTGGAGTCCCTGCTAGAGAACCTTTGAAGACAAAATCCTTGTCCATTTCATCTTTGTGTTCCCCCATAGTGTTCAACAGAGCACCTTGCACTTACTAGGTACTCCACAAACAAATAAATAAGTGAATGCACTTGGCTACTTTTTTTATGCAAATAACCCCACCTCACCCCATCCCATACACTAGTCAGAATGGTAGGAGGGGAGAAAGTGATCATTGTTTTTCTAGGAGTTTAGTTACAGTTGCTTTTGCAGGGTGTTTTGCTTCACTGTGATCAAGTTTAGAGAAGCTCTGCTCTTGGTCCTACACTGGGTGAGTCTGAATGCTGTACTCAGTGAGCTACGCTGTAGTCCATAGTGCCATAGGTTTGCATATCCTGCTTTTAAGTTTTACGCTAGAAATGGTCTATTTTTTTTTCTGAGCCTACCTTGCTCTCAGACGATGCCAAGAACACCGTGAAGAACAGAGCCACTAAAGTGTCCAACATTTCAGCACCGCCCTGTATGTGTTGTATGCATTCCGATTCTATTGTGTCTGAAATGAAGCCAAATTATATACATACAACATCATAACTACAGTAACAGATTTTCTTTCACCTATAACAAAATAAGTAATAAAATATTAAATGGAAATTATCTAACAGGATCTATAGCACAGTTCCCCAAGGACATGAGAAGCAATTCCCTAGTAGATTCTGAGAAGTCAGTCGGTCTGTGTGGTTTCAGACAGGCATCCTTGATACAGAATAGTCATGCCTAAAGCATTCCCTCTTGCTCACACACAGTGCATTTTCCATACCAAAGTACAGTTTGTACTTTGAGTCACCTTTGTTGTACTCCTCTGACACTCGTGATAAAAATCAGTTATAGCTTTTGTATATTTCCACTCAGGTTCTCATCAATCATGGCAATTTGGAATCTGTCATCCAAGTGCATCCCAGTGACCTTAGGAGAGTGTCAATGATGTCTGTCACAGGCATGGGAGAGGGAAGTAGAAGTATGCAGGCATATATCTGCTGCTCTGTGTCCTGTCATTCAGGTCCCTGGAATCAGGGAATTCAGGGAAATCAGAGAATTCAGGTCCCTGGAAAGGGACATGGCAAAGTGAAAAAACACAAAACTGCACATCAGAAGACTTGATTTAGAGGTTTTGGCTCTGGTACTAAATATCTATGTGATCTTAAGCAGATCTTACCCTGCCTGCATTCTGTCTTAATTATATAAAATGAAGGTTATGAATTCTAATACAATTGACAAATAGACAACATCGGTGCCATCTCTCAGACTATGTCCGGGGATGACTTCACTAATCAATCATGGACTCTTGCCCTCTAAGCTTCATTCCATCCCAAGAACTCTTCTGAACACCACATTTTCAAAAGGAACTCTGATCTGTTTCTGTTAAGTGAGTAAAAACATGAGTCTTGAGATGACATATTAGTTATCTATTGCTCTATACAAGTCACCAAACTTAGTGGATTAGGACAGCAACAATTATTTAATTTGCTCATGAATTTCCAATGTGGGCAGGGCTTGGCAGACATGTTCTTTGTTCCATGCAGCCTCAGATAGTTTGACTCTTATTAAGACGGCTCTCTCACATGGCTGGCAAGTTGGTGCTGGCTGCTGGCTGGAAGATCAGCCAGGTGTGTAGGCAGAAACTTCAGTTCCTTTTCACATAGGTCTTTCCACGGCCTACATGGAATTCCTCACATTAGAGTGGCTGGGTTCTAAGAGCAAGTGTTCCAAGAGAACAAGGAGGAAGTGCATAGCGTTTTTATGACTTAGCCTCAGCAATCCCATAGTGTCGCTTCCACCATCCTCACTTGGTCTAGGCAGTCACAAATTCATGTGATAGGGACATAGACCTTTTTTTTTAGACAGGGTCTGGCTCCATCACTGAGGCTGGAGTGCAGTGGCGCAATCTCGGCTCATTGCAACCTCAGGTGATTCTCGAGCCTCCTCAGTAGCTGGGATTACAGGTGTGTGCCACCACATACGGCTAATTTTTTTTGTATTTTTGTAGTGACGGGGTTTCACCATGTTCCCTAGGCTGGACGGACTTATCTAGAGGAACGTGTTGAATGGCACATATCATTGCAGATATCTTCAGAAATATAATCTGCCACAAGCACGTTTGCTAACCCTGGATTAATAATCTATGAGCATCCAACAATCT